GTACTTCCGCAACCTTATTGGTTGACAACGGGGCCGATCTATTGCAACTCAAAAGACTGGGAGGGTGGAAATCGAGCACGGTTGCTGAAGGCTACATAGAGGCATCTTTGGAGAACAAAAGTAAGACTGCTCTGATGCTATCCTCTACTTCCAAAGGTATTCAGTTGTCCAGTGCATCCACAAGTACATCACATGCGGAAACTCATCCGCAAGCGCAAGAGATAATAGTTCCAAACGAAACACAATTCCAACAGGATGGTCTCAAGATTTCCATAATAAACAACAATGCTAATTTAACAATTAATGTAAATAAGTGAATAGATTTAATTAGTTCCATGTAATACATGTGGTTTTATTATTATATGTGAGAGCTGTATGAAAATTATCAATTTGGAACGAGCAGGGAAATGGGGACGGAAAAGCATTTGCCGTCCCGGACGGAATAGTTATTTTCCTAACAAGTGCGCAAAGTGTTACTTTTCCGGACGCAAACACAGTTATACGAACGACGCGAAGCGGAGTTCGGATACGTGTTTGCGTGCGGAAAAGACACTTTGCGCACGTGTTAGGAACAAAATTTTTCCTACGAGCTTCATATCAGGTAGGTAATAACAAAAATTAAAAAAAAAATAAACGATAATTTGTTTAATTATTTTCAATTAGCTTGAAGCGAACCTATGCATTTATCAAAAAATTACATAACAAAAAAAAATAACAGAAAATCCTCGTCAGAGCTGTTCATCTTAAAGCGTTTAAATTTGATGAGAAAGTTTGTAGATTTTTGCATATAAATAGAGAACAAATCTGACAATGTGTCAAAGTTAATTTATATTTGGTGTTTGTATAGATGTTGGCTGATATAGAAACAGGGAAAATTTGTCATCATGTGTCAAAGTCGACAGGTACACTTATTGTTGCTTGACAATTATAATTACTTTTCGGCACTCAGTGCGGATAAGGCCTGTATCCGCACTGAGTGCGGAAAAGTGTAACTTTGAGCCCGGAAATGCGTGCGGAAAAGTACTACTTTGCGCACGCTCGTAGGAAAAATGCTTTTCCGTCCTAGGCAGGCATATGCATTACCGTCCCGATAAATGTCAAAGTCCAGAAATGTGACACTTTCAAGATTTTGAAAAACCTGCAATGTCAACATTACATATGTGGTTGAAAATAAAAACTTTTTACCTACGAGCGTGCGGTAAAGTGGACTTTACCGCACGTATTTGCAAATGGAAAGTATCACTTTACCGCACACTATGCGGTAAAGTGCACTTTACCACATAGTGTGCGGTAAAGTTAACTTTACAGCATAGTATGCGGTAAAGTGGACTACAAAGTGTGCGGTAAAGTGCACTTTACCGCATAGTGTGTGGTAAAGTTAAATTATTAATTTTTAATCAGAAATCCACTCTTTTTCAGAAAATGGATTTTTGATCATTTCTATATCTAATCTCATTTCATTAATTAATCTGATTCAATATTTAATTTTATCAATGCCTTCTTTTAGAGATGTAGATGCTCATAGGTAAAATTTTGTACCTAACACATGCGGAAAGTGCCTTTACCGCCCTTAACATCTTGACCGAACTCCGCTCCGCGTCGTTCGGTCAACTGCCGTTGCGTGCGGTAAAGTATCACTTTCCGCATTTGTTAGGTAAATAACTATTACAAGTCAGTAAGGTCAGTAATAGTATATTACAATCCGAGACGGGAAATGCTTCATTACTGGTCGAGAGGTTTTATAGTTTATCGAGACGCGTAGCGTCGAGATAAACTGAACCTCGTGACAGCAATGAAGTTTCCCGTCGAGGGTTGTATACTATTTTATTTTTAACCATAATTTCTTGAAAAAAAAAAAAATTCGGGGCAACCAAATGAGGTTGGCAAATGAAGAGGAAAATGAGAACGGGAAATATTTCCCTGCTCCATTTTCCGTCCGTGGACGGGAAATGAGGACGAAAAAAATTTCCCGTCCTCACTTCCCGTCCTGGGACAGGTAATGGAGCAGGATTATCGAGCTCGAGCTCGAGATTATAGTTAACTTCGACGCTTCGCGTCTCAGTTAACTAACTAATCTCTCGACAGTAATGAAACACTTCCCACCTCGGTATGTAATATACTATTATTCACCCACTACAATCGACAATATGGGTGTACGTTTGACCATCCGTAATTCAATTCTATTGTTCGACCTAGATATTATTCCAAAAAATATAACTTGCTCATGGGATAATGTCGAAATTTGCATGATTATTAGGGGTCAACGAAATGGGAAAGAATGTAGAGGACATATAAATCAATAAATCAAAGGATGACGATAAAGGCCGAAACCCACTAGCAACACGCCACGTCATGCTTCGCCACGCCACGCCATGTGACGAAAATGTATGCGTATCTTCTTCCATTTATTTATATGTGCTGCGTACACACTTGCCATACGCGATACCACGCCATGGCACGCCACGCTATCCGTCCATTTGCACACAAACTGTCCCACGTGAACCTGTGTCACATGGCGCGGGGTGGCGTGGCGTGTTGCTAGTGGGTTTCTTTGTTAAGTGAATGGAAAATGACAATGACCGACATAGAATCACAGCATATACAAGCAGGCTAACTCTCACGCGCATCTTTTCTGCGCACGCCGCCATTAGGGGATTCCATTTTGTCAAAACCTTATTATTAACAGAATGTAGGTATATAGTCTGAGGTCAAAACGCTGTCATTAAACGGCAGGAGCGCCGAAATTTTATTTTATTTGTTTATTTCTGACGGAGGTCATAGGCGTGCGGTGTAGAGCGGAATTTTAGCTATGATTTTCAAAACGATTTTGATATATTCGTGTTGTCATTTATGGTGTTATCTGTTATCATTCTTGTATATTCAATAATAATAATAAATTAGTTATTATAAACATTTTTATATGTAAGTAATAATAAATTAGTTTATTTAAAGCCAATACGACTCTGTCACAGGAAAGAAAAAACCTTAATTATCGTTAATCAGGCCCTGTTTCGTATCCCAAAATGGCCGCTAGTGACATTTTGACGATGAATTCCTTTATTACACGGGCTGTCACTCAAGTTAGCCTGCTGATTTAGAATGGTGGATCCACCGGTAAAATTTGATAGGAATAAAAACGCAGAATATCCTTACGTTTTCATTCTCATCGAATTTCACGATGGATCCACCATTTTATTCGGTCATTGTCATTTTCCATTCACTAAACAAAGATATCTAACTCATCGGTGAAGTCACCCATTGGAATAAAAACGAGGGGTATGTATTGTTATCTTCAAAAATGTCGAACCTCATAACCGAATTTTCGCGACGAACTACTACCATGATTTCATGAATACAAACGGTTTCGCGAAAAACTCATATTGAACGTAGTTTGTCGGAAGTATTGGCGCAGCTTCTAGCCACCACCGTTCAAACTCATGACGTCACAAGACGAAATATTTATGGTTCGTCCTTGGATGAACTATTGTCTGGCTAGTTGGTGACATATTTTTTTTTTGGTATATGGGATGTGTGGTTTTTTGAAATAGAAAAAAATCCGGCAACATTGCGAAATGAGGGATAGGCCGGCATAGACACACGTTCTTTCGCGCGGTTTATCGTGTCATTTGCAAAAACCTGTGAAAAATCATATGTGTGAGTGAGGAGGGCTACACGCAATGATAGAATGGGAAGGGATTTCAGACGTGCTTTCATCTGGAATGTGACGTCAGTACTCAAGTACATCATAGTGCAGTTCACAACTGTGTACACACGCCATTCCACGTCGCAGTTTTGAGGCTAGTACGGAGACATAAACGCCGCGTAGCGAACTATCACGTTGAAAATTAGTACATGACAACCTGCAGTTCCAAACGACACGATAAATGACACTTTTTACCCATACACATACGGTTTTTCCTTTCCAACTGATATGCCGCGTGTAATCACGTGCTAAATCATTTGAATACTTTGTCAAGTGTATGGAACATGACGATTTTTTTGCCAAGCCGTTCTTTCGCGCGTACCAACCGCTACATCCCAACACGCCACGATAAACCGCGCGTAATAACGCGTGTGTATGCCGACCTGATGTGGAGAGGAGTGATTATTCAGAGGCCTGATTCTTGGTTAGAGCCTAAGTGTACAAACACAGTGCAAGCAGGTTTCCGCTTACCAGTAACCAGCGCCGACTCGCGCCTATAAAGCGCGAAAAATGAATGCATGTTTTCAAATCGGCTAGTACACAGTAACAAACAGGAAGAGTACCTGCTTTTCACTGTGTTCTAGCCGATTTAAAAACATGCATTCATTTTTCGCCCTTATAAGCGCGAGTCGGCGCTGATTACCGGTAAGCGGAAACCTGCTTGCCCTGTGTTTGTACACAGGTTAGAGCCTGAACGACAGCACAGTGGCGTGGTTATTCGCGAAACTCTAAAAAAAATCCAATTATTTTATTGGTTCATTTCCTTGGTGTTTTCGGTGCCACTGAACCCAAAGACATGGCTGTCATTAAGCGGTGTCAGTTGAGGTGTCAGTGAATATTCTAATGCCCGTATTACATCTGTCTATTTTTCCGTGTATTAATTCATGTAGTTCAGGCTGCCAACATTATTTTGTTTTTCATAATACTAATTTATGTTGCGTTTGAAGTTTTTCGGTTGTCACCTTGAACTACATGAATAAATACACGGAGAAATACACAGATGTAATACGAGCATAAGGTTACGCCCCATTTTTCTTCCCCCTTTCGTCTCTATCAACTTACCACTTGCCAGATTATACATTCGTCGCGAAAATTCTGTTTGAGACTGACACACAGAACACATATCCTCACGGATAGAAAAAAAAGCTTAACGGAGGGCGGGGCCTAAAAAAAAAGCTTCGGATCGCATCCGCTTGGGGACGCTGGAGTGAAACAGAACTACAGGTGCGGAATGAACCAAGGACTGACACGTGCTGACACCATAGACTGACACTGAAAGCAGTGACAGCATAAATCATAAATACAAAAATAGATAAATGTCACCTAACTCATTTGCAAAAAAAATTCAAAGTAACTATTTATTTTAACTTATGTAGGTATCACTACTCAATTTTCACATTATGTTTCTAATCCACCTTAATTTTTCAGTATGGTAATAGAAGATGAACCTAAAGACGTTAAACTTCACGAATGGAACATTTTACCAAAAAACACCACTCCGGCTTGCAAACCCGAACCGAAACCGTTTCTAAAACAAAGAAAAAAACCTAATTTAGCGGCAATAACATGGACTGTTAGCGATTTATCTAAGGCGGGCTCTTTACTATCGGTACCGCCTTTACAGGTCACATTTGAAGATGAACAGGAGATGAGAAGAGTGTATTCACTTATTTATGATGTTTTCAGATGTAAGTAGGTAATAATAGTAGAGCCTGATTTTACACAAGCGTCTAATCTCGATGTTGGTCGGAATGTTAATCGACCTCAAAATAAAATAACTATAAAATCAAGTGTTTGTCTCACATTTGGTTTAAAGTCTTAAAATTCCTTCAAAAATGTTGTTGATGATAAGAAGTCGGTTCCAATTAAAAAATGTTGAAAGGTTTCCACATCCATCGTCCTATAAATGAAAGGCTCTTTGGATAGCATATCCGCGCCGTTGGCAGGCAAATTGTATATTGTATCGTATTCTTTGGAATAAAGTAGCTTGGCTCTTATGTGAATTATACTCGATTTTCCGGTTATAGCTGAGGTGCATTCATTCTTGAAGCATCTGACTGATCCATTCAGGAGTTCTGTGTGAGCTAGTAGCACAATCATCTGCGACTAAAGGAATATTTGTGTTCGTGGTCTTCTGTTGGTGTAGATGGTAGTATAGGTGAGAATCGACCTATAAGGTAGTCCTGTTACTAGCTTCCTCGGTCTCGAGTATTGTAAGCATATCTGAACTGAATAAGTTTTGCCGGCCAGGTAGCTTTCGACTTTGGATCAGCTTGTATATCTTTCATTGGTATCTGGCATGTACCATCTTGTGCATGTACAGGGTGTATAATTTAAGTACCACTATTGCTATATCTGAAACGGTAACAGCTACAAGGTTGGTTAAATTAGAAAAAAGGTCCATTTTTTGATGCCTATTCAAGACTCGTTTACAGTGATGTCCAATTTCTTCTAGCTTATGAAATACAGGGTCATTTCTAAGAAACTCCGAAAAAAATATTTCATCAATTATTTCGAAAACTATTGATATTCGAGACACAATTTAAATTTGAAAGTTTTATAATTTTTTTCTATCTACAACATGGCATCTTAGAAATTTGAATCCGACGTTTTGTGATCGAGCTACTATCATCATCTATTTTTTTTTAAATAAGGACCTGGATTTTTATGTCATTTTTAGAAATCGCACTTTAATTACTTTTTAAAAATGACATAAAAAAATCCAGGTCCGTATTTAAGAAAATCTTTCGATCACATAGGTAGGATTTCTGACTTTGTTAAGGGGTTCACTGGGTCTTACCAAAGGTCTTACGCCATGTTGGTTTTGGGCTATCCTATTACTCTCAATTCGTTGGATTCCATATTCCCTCCGAACTCTTCTATTGCCCATTACCAGGCCTTCAACTTCTCTAGGAAGTTCTTCACTTAGCCTCATTGAAATTGCCCTCCTTACTGTGAATTCCTAATTCACATCATTTTAATAGCAAATTCCAACTGCTTAGAATTATAATTCACTAAAATGTTACCTGTTGTCTTGATGCCTCTGCTAGCCTACCTGGTAGTGCGCGTTTGATTTACCTTTTGCCGGAAGCTTGGTTTCATTATTAACAATAACAAAAGGTTGTGATTCAAGGTACTTTCTTTTAAGTATATCTAGTAGTAAGTTGGCTGAGGTCATAATCCTTATCCGGCTTCTAGAAGTCTCACGGCCATTTGCACCGCTATAATTTAAGGGACATTAAATCCAAGTGGAGCTTTGAATGGGACTCTTGTAGAAACAAAAGTCACATTCAAAGCTCCACTTAGATTAAATATCCCTTGAGTGATAGCCGTGCAAATGGCCATCTCAATCTCTGTAGTACTTTTTGTATCTCCACATCTTCATTGACTACATGTCAGTTGTCTTTTACCCTCTGAACAATATTCTGTACGCAATCCGTATCTTGGTGTTCTGCAGATAAAAGATGGCGTGATGAGGTTCTCTAATATACAGTGGCTAAATAAACCTTTACATACAGTGGCGACAATAGAGGTCCCGCCGCCATTTTGTTCCCAACCTCTTGTTACTTTTAAATATTAATTTATAGGATTTAAATAGACATCTATCATAAAAAATTGAAATCGACGTATTTGATGACTATTATTAGGTCCATTAAAAACGTTGTTTTCCATGTTTTATGATGGATGTTCACCCAAATCCCATATATTCATATTTGAAATAAGCAATAGGTGGGAACAAGATGTCCGCGTTTTCAATATAAATAGAGTCACTATACTCTAATAGCTCCCCGACATCAACTCTCCAAGCTGTTAATCCCCTGACATTTTTCCAGGTGGTTATCTTGAATTGATCGTTTCTTCCGTCGGTCAGTTCTCTTTGTCTCCTTTGGATTTCGTCTATAGCAGTTTTGTTAACTTGCATGTTTGACTTTCTTGATTTTTCAGCCGCTTTTCTCCAGAAATCTCTCTCAATTCCTAGTACCCGTTGGCAAGATTTTCAGTGAGTTGCCATGATTCACGTCCATAAAGCGCTAAACGTTCGAAAGTCGAGTCATGAATAAGATGTTTCTTTTCACGTGAGATAGTTTTGATCACATGATCGAGCTCAGGAACCCTATAACTGTTTTACCCTTCAAAATTTTTTCCTCGAACTAAATTTCGGTTTAACTACAGGGCTTTCATTTCAAAACTTGCCACCCACGTTATCTGCGTTAAGAAACATGTTTGTGGAAATCGCCGAAACACGTCAACAAATTTATTGAGGGGGAAGGTTTTTTACGTAAAACTGGACTTCATCCCCTTCAACCCCCTAAGCCCTAGGGCTACCACCCCAAAATTTTCCAATGAGACAGGGGGTCGAGTGATAGATCATTTTAAAGGGCTGTTTAATCTGTACATTTTGTCATCTTATTTTTTGCAGAATGACACTCATTTCAATGTTTAAAAATGCTCATTTATCTTTAAACACATTTGCTTGTTCACCTGTTGCTGTAATGAAAAGATAGGTAAAAAAGCAGGTGTGTTTAAAGATAAATGGCATTTTAAACATTGAACTGGGTGGGGCTTCGTAGTCCGTAATTATACTGAGTACCTCTATAATTTATCTATGTCACAGATCACCTAATACAGATGCGTAAGTACGTATACTTGCCGTCGACGATATTCTGTGACGAAGGCGGGGGGCCAGCACTCCGACGCATAGATACGGATCGCCCGCGTCTGGCCAATTAACGTGGCCGAATGCGTGAGCATGTTCCATCCTGTGTGTTTACATATTTTTGCGGGTAGAAAAGAATATTTTTTTGCTGTTTGTGAACCAATTAAATAAATAATATTATATTATTGAGCTTCCGCATTTATATAATAAATATGTTCAAAATACATTGATGCGGCATTGGTGCGGCCAGCCTATGTCTATCAAATTAATCTTGAACCACGAATTCGCCGCTCTTTCGCATCTGTATGTAGGTAATCTGTGTCTATGTAGATAAAACATATTGAGTCTTTGATTTCTTTCCTGAGAAAACTAGTGGCCGGATTAGAATCACCATTTTCCAAAAGTCGTGCCATCATGTATTCTAGATCATCTTTGTTCGTGGCACAGGACTGGTCTCATTTGTATTCCCATTCCACTGCAGTCCATTTTCTCAGTACCTACTTTATCAGATATATACATTCAAGAATGTGTTAGTTACACGAAGCATTGATTTTTCTGTAACCACAGAGCTTTTGAACAGTAACAATGTTGTATGCTGTATGGCCAAAGAGAAGTACATTAACCTTTGAATTTTTCTTTCCATTTGGTTGGGTTAGGTTGAAAAATATATAGTTGATCATTGTGAATGTTTAATGCCCACTTGCACCGTGAGTTAAACTTGTACCAATATATCCATATTTAGTGAAATTCTTTAGGTCCCTAGTTAAAGTTTGAACCTTATCTGAAAAATCACGGTGCAAGACTTTAGAAATTGATCTGCTCTTAATTTTTAACTTGTCCGTTAATTAAACGTACTGATCAGTGCAAGTGGGCATAAATAAAATGTAAATAAAAAATTAGTATAATTAGGATTGACAAAAAAAATTATCGTTGTGGCGCTTCAAATAAGTTTTAAGCTAAAAAATAGCCTCTCACCACCCCTCTTTCGGAGAAAATGCTATCTGTGTCTTATTTGATTTATTATAAGCATGAATTTTATTTTTGTGTATCTTTTATTATTAAGATGGTGTATTCTCTTTAGTGTCATTAATTATCCTATTTTATGTTTCAGATAAAAAAGTATTAACGCAAGCCTTGAACGATGTATTATTTTATCAGATACATCCAAAGGTAAGATAAAGATATTCCTTTTTTTTTTTTGATTAACCTACGTAGAATTTATTACGGGCCGATACGGGCTCTTAAAAACACAAAACCTCCGCCAAACGATAATTCTAGCAAAAATGCGTTAGATTTCAATGGTTAGATTGCTTTAGAAGTACCTCGTCTAATCTCGACAGTCGACTACCTATCTGTAACGAATTATATGAGAATTGAAAAAAACTCTTATTTAAATTCTGGGTTTAAATGAAACAAGCGCTTTTATACTCATTTAATAATTTCCTCCAAATAGTTTTGAGAAGTGAATAGACGCGCTCTAGATGTAAACAACTGGCTTCTTTGAAACTGGCGGACCTATCGATGCAATTTAGTAAAGAGAGCGAATTTTAGACTGTGAGGCGCTCCGAAAAAAGAAAATTCTCTTTTCTTTGCTTCTTCGACCGCATATACGCGTTTCGCCCTTATTAAAGCACGTCGGCGTGGCTACCCTTTTTACAATTTGTCTTTTCATAAGCATGAGGCACTTCTTCATCCAATCTATGTGAGGGAAAACCTGTGACTCGTGAGAGTACTGTTCCGAAATACGAGACCATTTCGATAAATTTCGACAAAAAAGCTGTGTTGCCATATTCCAAAAACCAAGTCAAATGTGGATTTGCCACTGGCAAGTCAGCATCTTACAGGCCAATTTAATTGACCTTTTGTTTGGACGCCATATTGCGGTGGGCGAACATAGTTGCGAAAAGAAGAAAACAAAAATTACTAGCGGGCTGTCAACATTAAAAACAAAAGTAACTAAAGATTGATCCTCGCTATCCTTTTTGTTTGTTTACTTTCTCTCTCTGATTAATGAAAGTAAATAGGTAGATATTTCATTATTTCTATTCTGCTCAATACAAGCTAAAATTGATGGCTTTTCTTTTCAAAAACATTCATAACAGGCGGCAAATTTAAATTTTAAATGTAATTTATTCAGTAACTTTTGTTTTTAATGTTGACAGTATGCTAGTAATTTTTTTTTCTACTTTTGGCAACTATGTTCGCGCACCGCAATATGGCACCGAAACAAAAGGTCAATTGCAAAAGTCTGAGGTTAAATAGAGAACGAAAACGATTTCCCCTGTTCCACCTCCAGCATGAAGCGCTGGGAACGCTGGAGGTGGAACAGGAGAAATTGTTTCCGTTCTCTATTCAACCTTAGACTTTTTCTAGACATTTCATTCTATTGCATTTAAATTGGCATGTAAGATGTTCACTTGCCAGACCAGTATATTGGCTTCTTCAGGCTTCCAATATCTTGTCTAATTGTGTTACATAAGCATTGCTCTATGGTGGCCTGTGCATTCCTAAAACTGAAGTCTTTTGTTTGGGTCACCGTCAATTCGTCATAAATCTATCTGTCGTACGTCAACTCGTCGTACGCCAATTCGTCGTAAAGTCAATTCGTCGTAAAGTCAATTTGTCGTATACGTCAATTCGTCATAAAGTCAATTCGTTCTACCTATAGGTGCCTCGATTCTTCGTGAAGTCAATTCGTCGTATACTTCAATTCGCCGTAAAGTCAATTCGTCGTATACGTCAATTTGTCGTAAAGTCAGTTCGTCGTATACATCAATTTGTCGTCGCGTACTAAAAAATATATTTTTTTTAAAGATAATTCCTCAAGTCCAAATTTAGTAACTATGTTGGCAACACAAGCCTTCTCTAGATAAAAAATTTAAATGCATTGAAAATTTTACATTGTATTGCCAACATAATGTCATTTTGACTTTTATCTTTAAAAATTAACAGACTTTATAGCTGGGGAGCTGGCGTCAAAAACATGCAAGAGTTTTCGCAAGGCGGATATTTTCAAAATAGGTCGTACTTTAGTGCTAGAATGCTAGTGTACAGTCAGCAGTCACAGTTCCGGGACAGCTGGCTCTGGGACGCGGGCAAAGTTGTAATTTTAAGAAGCATCTAAACTGTTTTCTCAAAGCTCAAAATTTATAGAAATTTTGCACATTATCTGTTTGAAGGTCACAGATAACGTATGTAAATCGTCAGACGTCTAGTTCGTTGCAAAAAGGGGGTCAGACGTCCTCAAAGTTCTTATTTTATGGCATTTTCTTCAAATATATTTGTCAAATACCTGCAAAAATATATTTTGACAGGACACCGAAGAAAATCTCATAAAATAAGAACTTTGAGGACGTCTGACCCCCCTTTTTGCAACGAACTAGACGTCTGACGATTTACATACGTTATCTGTGACCTTCAAACAGATAATGTGCAAAATTTCTATAAATTTTGAGCTTTGAGAAAACAGTTTAGGTGCTTCTTAAAATTACAACTTTGCCCGCGTCCCAGAGCCAGCTGTCCCGGAACTGTGAGTGCTGACTGTACACTAGCATTCTAGGACTAAAGTACGACCTATTTTGAAAATATCCGCCTTGCGAAAACTCTTGCATGTTTTTGGCGCCACCTCCTGGACTATTATAATATAGGTAATTCCTCGTTAGTATCGGTAAGTTTGGTAATGTCTGATTAAACAGAAAAAGTGCAAATTTATACATTTCAACATTATACCTGAAATACGACGAATTGGCGTATACGACGAATTGACTTACAACGAATTGACATAGACCCCTTTTGTTTCCAAAGTTATAGAAACAATATAACATTCTATAAGCAGATTATATACTGCCACATTGTTTTGTATAAAATCTGTATAATTTCGTATGTAGATGCTATTACCACCTCCTCTACTATTTCGACTATCATGTACAGCCTCATACTGATCTATAATAAAATACTGCTCTTCATTGGCATATAACCATGTTTCAGTAAGTATTATAATATGAATTTTTCTATGATTTTGTTTGGTAATGTCATTAATATCACAAAGTTTGTTCCTTAGGCTTCGGTCGTTTACATGTAAAAAATTTATTATCTCATTGCCATTTATCAAAATAGGCTTTTTTTTCAGGCAATAGAGGCGCATCTTCTTTTTTGTTTATTCTATGAACTTCCAATATATCACCACCAAATACTTTGTTTTTCATTTTTCTAAGAATTATATAAAAATATATAAAAAAAATTCTCGGCTCCTTCTTTTGCTTTGGTACTTCTACTACAATTAAGTTATTTTTTTTTCTTTCGCTCCTTTTATTATTAATCCTATCTTCCAGCACTTGTACTTTCTGCTCAGTGCTCAAGGTTAGAATTTTTTTCTGCTGTTCCTTTTAAAATAATAGCTTTTATATCGTTTATTTTATCCATCTTTCGTGTTACGATACACGTTTTATACAAAATTGAACAAAATCAGACAGATGATTAAATCAGTAGGTACAATTTCGTGTAGTTTATTTGAAATTGTGAACTACTCAAAACAACAAAATTTTATGGCCATTCTACAAACCAATCCTGACGTTTTATTTATTATAGTGTTATTTCAAACATGCAATGAATAAGTTTTCTAGCAAATAACAGTAATGCAGCTTTATTTGAAAAGAAAATAGTATAAATTTGGCCAAAACGTGATTTTCGCACCAGGTTGAATAATCGCGTGATTATAAGGTTCGCGTTTTTATTATTAATTGTACTTTGAGCTTTAACTGACATCTAGTTAGGTTTGCGAAGTATAAATCAGAAGTTAAAGGAGAGCTGTTCTTTATTAATTAATTTTCTATAAATAAAATTTTATGCAAAGAACACTCAAATGGAATCGATAAATTAAAAAGCTCGCACAGGCATATATAGGTACTTTAATGGTATGTTTTTCTACTCTGAAGGTAGTACAGGGTGGTCTATCTCTACTGAATATCGTTAGGGATATCAAGATTTTTTTTTGATATTTTTCAAATTTTAAAAGATCCGCCAGAATTTGCTCCCAGATAATTTATTTCTCTGCTGGTTGCCCATTGAAAAATCGAAAATGAGCCACCCTGTACATACTCCTTCTCGAATTATTTTAAAACGATTTAAAATCATGTTTTCCTCGTACATGTTTTTCTAAGTTACAATTGGTTTTGTTCCTTTTTCCAACAGCGGTGTATGTAATTTTTCAGCTTGAAAACACCGCCCACCACATTTGGTTACTATTTTACGACTTGTATCATAGAAGTTTCAAAAAACGTGAAACATCAGTGGCAACTTTGGCTTCGAAACTATTTGATTCCGTTGGTTTATCTTACGCTGAAAATGCACTATGGTCTCAAAAAATAAGACTAGCCGCTGCTGTAGCTCGGTTGAGGTACGTACCAAGAAGAATAGTAAGTATTTAATTACGTGAATACGTTAAAATTTCCTATTTTAGAATTAAGCACAATGCTTTATCATTGGACGAATTATTGCCTGCACATTTGAAAAATGAGAAAGTCACTGAACAGGCTAAACATAATCCAGTCACTTGCTGGGTGAACTGCCTGAAAGTCCCGTAAATATAATTATTTTCTTAGTAGCGATTCAAATTTACGAAATTTCTTTTAGTGATATTGAAGAATTGACTAAAAACATTGAAAATACATTTGACCTCAAAATGGTAGTCGACTTAGGAAGTTTAGATAAAAAAACTTTCAAATGGGACAGACATTGCCCTCAAATCATGGGATTTCATTCTTCGATGAGAGGAAAGCTGGCAAAAAGTCCATTTGTTAAGAATCATATGCTGATAGTTCAGGTAAGATATACTGAGTTAGATCTAAAGGCCTCTGGTAGAACTCAGTGGGGCACGACGGGTCCACCACAGGAGACACTGGTGGTATACCCTTTAAATTTATCCTGGCTTGATGGCAAGGTTGACTTGGCTTGCTTTCCCTGCATACTAAGTTCTCATAGGGTAATGCTGTTGGCAAGGGAGATAGACGCTGACAAGATTACTTGAACGCCGATGATTTTTTTAGGAGGCGGCGGTTGGGCGGGCTCTGCCGTTGTGGAAGGTGGGTGTTTGCGGTCAGCCCTGGATTAGCCTCGGTACACGCAAATTGTAGTGGACTGGTCACTTCCGGTGTAATAGGGGGCACTGTAGTTATCTCCTGAAGGGCAGGCAAAGCGTAATCAGTTATTTCTTACGATCTTCTTCTAATCTAGTTTTGACTAGGCCTCGTTCTCGTTTGAACTGAGCGGTAATCTGTGCATGTTCGGACTCTTCCAGTTTAGCATCCTACGATACAGTGCTACGGTATGCATCAAAACATTCTGCAACCTCTTATATCCAAAATCCAAAATTAACAATTTAAATAATATATTCATCAAAAAAATTCATAGGGAACACAAATAAAATCTAATTTTCGGAATTGTATAAAACATACAAAAGATAGTTATAGATTTTTTAACATCAAACATTGTTTGTTAAATGAAATACTAATACTCTATCGCCTGTAACATTCTGACCCTGAATCTAGCCCAAGTAATAACATTCCAACCCTTTAATAGCTCCATTATCGTCCTTACATCCTGACCCCTGAAGCAGCGCATGCAATACCATCATGCCACCCAAAATAGCTACATCGAATTTGATTGGTCAGGTTTCCGGGCTATGGCTAGATTGGGTGGCAGAATGTTTTGATGCCTACAGTATAAGTCTCTGCATGGGTCTTATTGTCGGCAATACGCATCTCTCGTGGAAGCTCTTTGAACAGTCGCCCAGTGTATTTGATGCCATTGTCGGTGAGAACGGTTTATATGACAGCCCGGGACGTCGCTAATCTGATTGACCGGTATTCCATCCTTTTGATGAAGCAATACTGAAACATAACTATAGTATTTGTAATACCCATTTAGAATAACTCCATCCTTATTTATCAATCACGAATCAGATGAAACAAAAAATTACCAACAAAAACGAACGTCGATTGCTAATACGTTAATTTCATCTACAAATAGGAAATTCCTAACCTAATTTTATTTGTGTGTCAAGAAGCGATGTATGTAGTCCCTGTATAAACATAACATTTTTGTGGATCGGGGTCGGATGCAATATTAAGGTATTTTATCTACAACCGTTGGGTTATGCCGTTTTAACATACCCATTCTTCTAGTCTTTGAGTTATGTCATGAGATTCATAACACAACTAGTGGTGTTATGGACTAGGTTATGAATTCATAACACAGTTAGTAGTGTTATGGACTATATCCTAACTAACTAACCCAAACACTATTCAGTCAACGATCCTATATTCACAATCCGTAGTCCACAGGTAAAGGTAAATTTATCACCTTTCCCTATCAAATTGCACTGAAAGGTGATAAATTTTACCTTTACCTTTGGACATCGGATTGTGAATAGATAAAAGGTTATGAATCTATAACACAACCATTTTTGGTGATTTGACAAATGTCAAAGTTAAACCTGTAGAAGTAAAATGAAGGTAGACAACAAGTAATAAACGAACATTGAAAAAAAAAAACTTATTTTTCGATTTGTAGATTAAACGTTGTACATCACACGTGCATTTAAACATGACTATACAAAATTCGTGTGATTAGAACGACTCGGTCTACGACAACGTCGTTCTAATCTCACACACTCGTTATTGTAAATATGTCCATAAACGCACTTGTAATGTAAATAACTATTATGTCATTATGCATCACCGTTTATGCCCGGTTTTCGATCCACAATATATCTGTTACTGAACTTATGGAAAGATAAATAGTGCAATTATAATGGACTTTTCTCTCCATAGGTACCATTATGTAATTGTAGGTAGTTGATGAACTTCTACAGATATTTTATGGTGCATAAACCCGGCAACAAACAAGGTCTTTGTGTCAAATTATGTCCATATTTCATTTGTGTCCTAATTAGTCCTCAGCCACTGCGACCATTCCACATTCTGGAAAAGCTCCACAGCTTTTCCAGAATGTGGAGGAAGTCGCGACCCTCCAGAGTGATTTTTTGGCAGTATACGAGAAATATAGTTCACAGTTCCCCATATTTATGTAGAAACCGTGAAAACTAACGGACGGTCTCGTTATCGAATGTAGCAATGTCAGGCTTTAATGTTTGGTAACTACTTGAGAAAAATATTGCACAAAGCGATGTTAGTTATACCATAAAGCCACTCCTAGTATCGGGCTCCCTAAGAGATCTGATGGCAGCTACATCGAAAACAGACTAGATAGTCTAAAATTGCTACTGCAAACACTCTCTCCAAAGTCTACCGAGGGGAAACCTAATGAAGAAAGGGCTGCTACAAATCACCAGGTGAAGATGGGATCTTTCCTGCACTCTTACAAGAGGATCAAAGAGAACTAGCACTTTTCAGAGCTAGTTAGCAATTAGGCTAGATTCCCACCAGTTGGCGGGATGTGAATCTGTTCTTCATTCCAAAGGCCGGTAGGCGTCCTACAGAATAGCTTCATTCAGACCAATTAGCCTAACCGGATTTCTCCTGAAAACTATGGAGAAAATCATTAACCTTCACATAAGGAAAGGATTTCTATTCTATCTCCAAAAGAACCAATTTGCCTATCAGCCAGGTAAATCTGAGCCCTACACAGTCACTACGATGAGAAAGATAAGAAAAGGCACACTTAAGTCGAGAACCGCTCTATGCGCATTCATTGATATTGAGGGAGCTTGCGACAACACCTCACATGAATTCCTAAGAAGAGTGGCTAGAAATAAGGGCTTTGACGAAATTACAATTGCACGGATTGAAGCCATGCTTGAGATTGAGAATAGGAAAATTAAAGCAACTATTGGATGTGACTCGGCGACTGTCTCAGCAGTCAAGGGATGCCCCCAAGGTGGTGTATGGTCACCACCACTGCTGTGTAGTAGATGAACTTCTCTACGCACGGTAAGCGCCCAAGGGATCTCGGTCCTATAGGATATGCTGACGACCTTACAATCGTCATTAGAGATAAATATTACAAGATCATTAATGACCTTATGCAAAATGCCCTAAATGTTATTATTATATGGTGTCTGCAGGAAGTTTTAAGCGTTTACCCCAACAAAACCCTAATTGTACCTTTCACAAGGAAAATGAGGCTAAATCTAACAGCCCCAACCTTAAATGGAATAAAAATCAACTTCGCAAGTGAGGTTAAATATCTGGGAGTGGCCCTGGATCAGAAACTCCCTTGGAACCAACATCTTAAAAGCGTAATCGACCGGGCAATAACCATATATTGTACATGCCGGAGATTATTCAGCAAGACTTGGGAACTGAAGCCAAAAATGATATATTGGTTATTTACAATGGTTATACGACCCATGGTCACTTACGCTGCAATGGTGGCCAAAAGTAAAGCAACAGACAGCGCAAAACCGAATGGCAACTGTACAAAGGTATATGATGTCTTGGTATGACAGGAGCAATGAAGTGAGTGTTGGGCCTCCCCTCGCTAGGTATAATAGTGAGGAAAGAGATTTACATGGGAGAGTCAAGAATATTATAGACCCTAAAACTAAAGGAAGGGGACTTTGTCGGCCACATGAGAATTATAGAGGAATGCATGAATGTGACCACAAAGCCAGTTGACCACATGCAACACAGGCAGTGGCGTAGCCAAACCAAACGTGGACGTCGGCGACATCCGAATAACGAAGCCCTTTTAATGAAGGGGGGGTCATATTTTTTGTGACAAAAAACTTGATATAAGCTTTGATATAAGACAGGGACGAGTAGCCGCCGGTAGGCCCGCCGAAGGCGAGAATATTTTGAGCGTCACGCCCTCATATCATATCAACGGTATTCGATAGCAATATTTAGTCAAAAATATTATTATTTTTCCGCTAACAAATCCTTCCAACCAAAAATAAATTTCTTATTTATTACAGTATGACACAAACATGGACCGACAATTTTTAACTTGCTTGTGCCTTGCGCTCTCCTCATCGTGTATTCTTTCTATTGAAGATTAGAGTAGATTACCAGTGCAACAGTTTGCAAGTCTTGCAAAAACTATATTTATTGCAGTTACAGGCTATCAATCAAATTCAATCTTAGAACCAGTTTGACACGGTCCAAGTGCTTGGTCGAAATGCACTTAGATGAGAACTTGGATCAAGTTGGAAGCACGTTTACTTACTTAGATGAACAGTTGGTACCATCCAAGTATCGTCCAAGTGAGCCGCGCGCAGCGTCCAAGGCTACTTGATCCACGTACACTTGGACCGTGTCAACCTTCACGCATATGCTTATCCAATACTTTCGAAAGTTTACAAATATTTGTCGAATATCAGTTGCGCAAATTAGTTGTGATCGAGTCTCAAGAAGCTGAAGTATATTTGAATCAATTACGAAGTAAACTAAATCACAACAACCTGGAAGTGTTTATGATAGGTAATGTCTATGGAAAAAAATTTACTCATATCGTTAGATAATAACGAAATTATCAATAATGTAGCTTAAGACTAGCAAAAACCTCAATAAAATGTTGATTTTTTTCTTGGGAAACAAAGAACAATGTGGTAATTCATTCTTGTCAATAACATAATTTGGTATATCGATTGATGCTCGATGATGTATTGTTCAAAAAAAGTGTTAAAAAATTTCTCAAGCCGAGGCCGTATTATAATCTGCAAGAATTTTATAACGATGACTTTTAGTAATAAGTATGTTTTTGTCTTCAGTCTTGCCCTGGTCTCCACAATTAATTAATTTTACGACTTCTGTATGTGTGTTGCCTTGTATATTGGCTCCATTTTAAAGCATATGTGTTATGTATATTTAATTTTTCTTTTTTAATTTTGTGTCTTGGATTGTTCCTATTATTATTATTATTATTGATTGTTTAATTATTTTACATATATGTATATTTGTTTTTTTTATTTTATTTATATTTGTATCTTTATCTTTACTTTCCAGCTTTGTCAATAAGAGTTTATCTACTTAGACAATAAAGCCTATTTTCATTTCATTTCAATGATTACCCTTCAACTAGTAGGTATAGGGTCGCTTGAGCCTGAGAACTTTTTCGATACCGTGGGAAAATCGGCGAGCTCCCAGGCTCAGTGACCCTATACCTACTTGAACTTTTTTTTGGTAATGACGCCCCTGTAACTTCAGAATCCAACACCCCGTCCCTGGGTAATTTTTTGGGAAACCTAATGAATTTCCGAATTTTTCGAATCTCTGTATGTTAGTATGTTTATGTTTACTGTACAAAATCAAATGCTGGACGGACTTTCAAAATGCTGTAGAATGTATGTAGGTATGTACAGGGTGATCCAGTATAAAGTGAACTACCTTTTCGCTAAAAAAAATTTTTTCAAAAAAATCAAGATAGCCATTTGGTGTATTTTGTTTCTAGGAATTTAGGAACGTTTTTCGAAATGTTATTAGATTGTTCGTTAAAGCACTGTGACGACAAAAGTAATTTTTTTAAATGGAACAACCTATATTTGAATCAATTTTTGAAACGCCCCTATTTTTCTCATTCCAAATACCAAAGTTTGTTTATCATTATTTTAGTAATTTGCGATATATTCTCACTTAAGATTCAAATAAGAATAGACGAAAAGGTATCAAGGTAAATCTAAATAATTCTACCTTTAATAAAACTACTTGTTATTATGTTTTATGATACCTTTTGGGCTATGTTTATATGAATTTTAAAGTGAGAATATATCGCAAATTTTCAAAATGAAAATAAACAAACTATATACAGGGTGTCCCAAAAAGATACCGACAAACTTTAAGGGGTAGTAGGGGACATCAAAACAAGCATTTTTGTTTATATAAACTTATGTCCGCAAATGAGCCATTTGGGCTGTAGAGCAAAAAAACTGTTTGATACATTTATTCTTCGCAATAATTAAATCACTGTTTACTTATTAATTTTGCTTTATTATCAAATAAATTATGGTTTACAATAATTGTTCAAAATGTTGACCATTTACTCCAATGCAAAGATTACACCGTCGGGTCATTGACTGAAAAGATTAGTCTACGAAAAACCTGTTCGTAGTAAGGAAGATCTGATAGCAAGGATTCTGGCGAGTTGTACCCATGTAGAAGCTATTCCCGGAATATTCCAAAGAGTTCGCGAGTTGAACAATTATTGTAAACCATAATTTATTTGCTATTAAAGCAAAATTAATAAGTAAACAGTGATTTAATTATTGCGAAGAATAAAACTAGATACCAAACAGTTTTTTTGCTCTACAGCCCAAATGGCTCATTTGCGGACATATGTTTATATAAACAAAAATGCTTGTTTTGATGTCCCCTACTACCCCGTAAAGTTTGTCGGTATCTTTTTGGGACACCCTGTATATTTGAAATGAGAAAAATAGGCGCGTTTCAAAAATTGATTTAAATATAGGTTATTCCATTTAAAAAAATTACTTTTGTTGTCACAGTGCTTTAACAAAAAATCTAATAACATTTCGAAAAACGTACCCAAATTCCTAGAAACAAAATACACCAAATGGCTACCTTGATTTTTTGAAAAAAATTTTTTTAGCGAAAAGGTAGGGGTGTTCACTTTATACTGGATCACCCTGTACAATACATCGTGAAATACTGTACGTATGATCATCATATTTTTATGTCTCGGTTGGTCGGTCGGTTGCAAGTTAGGAAAAGTGCTAATTAATTGAATTGAACAAAAATATGTGATAAGAACTGTAATATATTAAAAATGTATTTAAATTATAAGTTGTAGGTTTTGGCGCTTTGCTTCATGCGCATTGTACTATTGCTCCCTTCTTCATAGGTGTAGATTTTTGGGTATAAGTACCAGCCACGTTGGTACTCCCTCTCTCTATCTTATACCTTCAACCAGTAAACATTAAAATAAAATAGATCTACAATTATCAGTGTTTAATTTAACCATCCAAGTTTGCAAAAGGTGGTTTTCAAAAGTAGAAAACACCACAAGAACATTGCCACAATTATACCGATTTATCGAAATACCAAGAATCTACTGAAAAAAATAAAAACCATATGATTTGAGATTTCTATGTTAATTTGCAGTAGAATTAATAATTTTAAGTGAATTCTATGAGATTTAGAAGTTTCGTACAAGATTGAAATTTATCTGTTCTCTACGTTTCATTTTGGAAAATCAAAAAGTGCCAATTTTTAGGTTCGGAGCCTCGCAAAAGATAGGTTCTTTTGCGAGGCTCCTTAGGGCGCGAGGCCGTTGGCAGTCGCCGACGCTTAGCCACGCCACTGAAAACAGGTACGAATTTAAACACCACATCAAAGTGACTATTGGGGGCCGCAAGGGAGAGAATATCGTACCTGTATTCCCGAGTGCGTCATCTGTCTGGTATACAGACGGATCGAACACAGAGCAAGGGACTGAAGCCAGCGGACGGCCCACTTTGTAGGCTATCAACAGCCCTGGAAGAAAGCCCAACTATATTTCAAGCGGAAATCTAGCAGCTGCCGTCTCGCAATAGAGTCACTATGTCATGGGTACCAGGGCACCAAGGAGTCGAGGGGAGTGAAATAGCGGACCAACTTTCAAGACAAGGAGGTGCAACACCAATCCTTGGACCAGAACTTTGGAATTACGAAAAGCCATATAATAGGGACAGTCCAGAATTGGTTAAAGGCTTAACCCGAATGGTTAACTTCTGGTATTGATACGATTGTCAGTTTGTATTAAGAGTTATTTGCCAATATCCCTACTGAGAAATGTGCATCCTTTCTGGAAACGGCATTAACTTTGTGAAAGTCAACAACCAGTATTTGCTTTTTTTCTTCCGAACAATGACCACTGCTGAACTGGAGTATTCCACCAGGCTGGCAGATGGTTCGATGATTACCGTCCAGCATCTTTTGGACTGCAGACGATTTCTTTCATGCGGAGATTCTGCGGTCAGTAACACTGTTCTATCGGTTCGGAGCTCAGTAATTGTTGGTCCAAAAACTCCTTTATTGTTTGCTCTATTGCCCTTCAGTCGACGTCAAAAATAGCAAGAGGCAAGAGCACTGCATAGAATCGGGAAAGGTAAAATCTTGTTATGGAGGTAATGGTGGCACTGGCAAGATCAGGGTGGAACTGGTGGTGACTTACGTAACTTAAAATATCCATTCCGATGTTAATTTCGTCTGTCAATTTCGGAAAGTAGCCGATGGTTTCGTTCCGTGTAATATTTTTGAGCTGTGGTATCTGATAAGCTTCCGATATGTCGACTATTGAAAAGTGGACCTATCTATAAAAACTGAAATGTATAAATATTCAATTTCACATTAATTTATTTATTTTCTACTTAACTATTTCTACTATTTCTACATAATACCTAGGAAACGAAATAGTTAACTTACCTATAACAACCTGAGGGTATTATAAGCCCAGCGGGCGTTATGATTCATAACGCCCGCTTATAATACCCTGAGGCATTTTCGTTGTTATTTTAATAATTTGCATTTTACCCTAGGCAGCACCTAAATGTCCGACCGAAAATAATTTTCGGTCTGGCCAGGATTCGAACCCGGTCTACCATGAACGTTTCCCATGTAAACGAGCGCGTTAGCCCGTTGCCTTACTTTATGAGATGTTTATAGATATCGGGTCTTCAAAAAAATACCCAATCAAAGATTGCTATGGTGTTTTGAACGTATGTCTTAGCAATATTTTCCTTTTTGTCATTTTGTCAATGAACTTTAATGTCAAAATGTCATGTCAAAAATCCTGACCAATAAAGGAACAATAATTCGACGTACGTTTTCGTAATCAGAGCAGTCTTTGATTGTTTTTTTTTTTTGAAGACCCGATATATTAATTTGGTTCGTTTCTAAGTAGGTACAGGTACATGTCAAAACACAAAACAATATTCTGTCACACAAGTTTAACTGATTTTGTTTGATATTAAATTGATGAAAGAACATTGTGTAGTAGAAAATAAAGCATTGTATGCACCACGGGGATTTTAAGATTATAATGACCTTCAGGCGAAATATATCCGTCGGGCCAGAGACCCTCGGGCTAGTTTTGCCTTCGGGCATTATAATCTACATAATCTCTTAAATAACTATTACAGCTTTAGTGCATATTTTCATAAATCATATGGATTTCCCATATTTATTTTTTCTACTAAACCCTTGACAAGGGAAATTTATTACCTACTTCTAAACTTATGGGACGTGATTTACAATTTCTGTCATGTTTCTGTCCAAGTCATATTGAAGAACCCGCAGGTTTTTAATGGCAATGTAAAGAAAAATAGTTGATGTTTGAACAATTAAACTTGCCGCAATTTTCCGTATCCAATTTTATAATAATTATTGTAGGACAAATCCTTTTGTCGAGGAGCTGCAACTTTTGGAAAAGTCCTAATCGACTTGGGACTAACAGGAAGCGTGATACAGACTCACGTGAACTCGCCCAGAACTACAGCTTATTTGGCCACACTTTTAACACACAATGAAAAAATTAAAAAGTTAATGGCCTTCAGTGCAGGTAAAAGGTATATTTGAAAAGCTATATAAAACAAATCTTCAGAAATTCTTGAATTTACAATGATGCGAATTTTTTTCTAGGAAACCCGAATATGAGCATTACTTTACTGAACTTGGAGTTACAAATATAAGAATATTTGCTGACCGATTAATTGATTCACCTCCAGATGCTTCGTATATGGAAGAAGTTGTAGCAGTATTCGCTACACCCCCAAATAGTTACTCTGCAGTTACAGATCCAATTGACTTGGTTATTAAAAGTCATATGAATTAATGTAAGGCAGCAATTCTAATTTATATTTTGTTCTAGGTATGTAGTCGTGGTGGGGACCTGACAATGCTAGAAGTACTAACAGAATCAGAGGAAAGCAAAGAAGCAAAAGATCGAGTAATAAGTATTTTGGAAGAACAAAGAAAAACTTTACGTTTTTCTATGTCAAGACCTCAAGTAACCTTTATATTGCCTGGAACTACAAACCTACTAAAAATATATTATCTGTAGATACAGTTTGTTCTTTATGAAACCCATTCGGAATTGGAGGCTGAAAACGACGACATGGTCAACAGGACCTTAAAAGATATAAATCGTTTGGCAAAATTGCAACATGCAGCATTGTTGGGGAAATCTCCAATGCCTGATTTACCAATCGATGAGGAAACCCAAGAAACTGATGATCCTCTAAATGTGCCCTCGCACACTGAAGGAAGTGCGGAAACTGAGCAACCGACTAGGAATTCTTTGGGCTCTGCCAATTCGAAATCAGTCCAGATAGATGTAGAGGAGAAGCTCCTTGATTCTCTCCAGGTTTGTACGCCAAAGCGATTTATGAAAAAGTTTAAACGATTTTGAATTTTTGAAAATGGACAAACTTGCAGAAGTTGCATGTTTTGGACTATAGGTATTCTGTGATCAAAACTATTGTCAGTGACTCGTTCCTCACAAGCATTAGCTTGCAGGTAGATTAGAAGCTATTTCCACTAATCCACCTATGAACTGGACAATTTTTATTGCACTACGTAACGTAAATCACGATGTAGGGGAAATGATACCATTAATCGATTAATAGGTACCCGATAAATAGCTTACTTCAACCTGACCTGAAAAATAGTCATTATTCAATCTACTTTTCTGTTGAATGGATTTTGCAAAATTTCGTTTTTTCCGGATATCTCGGGAAATGTTCGGAATTTTTCAAATTTCAAAGTACCATTTCATTGAACGTTAAATTATGCAACTTTTTTCTAATCTAATCAACATTGTAACTCCATCTGTTCTCCAGATCCTAATACTATCCCATCCTTACCTTGGACACACTGTATATTTTATATTAGTTTAGAGCCTTTGAAGCTTGGAAACTTGTGCATGTTTTCTACATATTTTTTCAATGACTGGCTGTTGTTGGAAATTCTGAATTGCTTATTGTATTCAATTTTTTTTAAGGTTCCTGACACTGATATTTTTATCACTCCAGAATTACCAAATTTATGCCCAAATGAAAACTCTTGTATTAATTTTCGCAAGGAAGGTTGCTATTTATCTCTAATACGTAGAAAGGTGATTTACACTGCCAATAATCGTTATTTTCCATTCAACCATATTTTTTCTAGGAAATAATTCGTTTAGACGACAAATATATGATCCAAATGGCAGAGAATCGTGGTCTTTTTGGCAGCACAACAATGCAAAATACAACTAAGTCTAAAAGTACCAAAGCGTCAAGGAAGAAACAAGAGAAACATGATAGAAAGCCAAAGTCGAGAAAAAAATTAAAGGAAACTGAAGTAAATATTATAAATTATTATGTTTATAATTTACCCCCTGGGTTTCTGGATCCAGTGATTATTCCCCAAAACCACACTTCTGTTGAATTATATTGATTGTTAGTGCAGCAGTGAGGGCCTTTTCAAAATTGACATTACAAGAGCGGAAGTAATTGTGTAACTTTTTTTATGTTAGGGTTCCTACGCCAATGTTGAATTTGAATTCTCGAGAAAAAGACTGTTGCAAAACAACCCACATGTTGAATAAAATAGTGAGATTTTATTTTTTTATAACTTTTTACGTTTACTCGTAGCAACAAAAAGACTATTGCCGTCTCTAGGTTGACAGCGTTATACCTACGGAATTGGTCTTGCCAAGTTGCTAGCTGAAATTCAAAGATGCAGCACCCTTTCACGGCCGTGTAAATTACTTTTATTCCCAAAAAAAGTTACACTGATACGTTCGTTCATGCCAATTCAAAATCTCTCATCACAGCACTATGTGACAAATTCCCATTTCAGATTGACAGAATTGCTGCTCCAACTCACACCTTTTTATCGCACATAAAACACGATGTTCAACTATGTCGGCGCTGTCAACTTGACCATCAGGACAACGCGGCCACATCGCAATACAAAAAATGGTGGTACGAGAGCACCAGACACATCATAGATCTTAAGAAATATCTTATAAGACATAAACTTTTGCCTTGTCAAAAGTTAAGGCACGTCACGCAAAAAAATATTGTAAATAGTTTTATAACGCCAAATCATACGAGTAAAATTGACGAGATTGCCGCCAAGTGCAATAACAATTCAAAATTTCCCATTTTTCCTAAACTCAAATTACCGAGGGAAAATAAGTTTGTTAAAATTCAAGTGCCACTTACGATCACTAAAGTAGAATTTCCTGAATATTGTTTATTTTGTAATAGGTAGTGATTTTTTTTTAACTGTGATATTTCGTGGCTGTAATCTGTAATATTAGTTTGAAGAAAAAAATTATTTAAGTATCGGAAATATGATTTTTATTTTCTTTCCATTTTACTTTTAATACTTCCATATAACTTAGCTTTGGTAACTACAAATTTATTAACAAAATGTCTCTGCTGCTTTTTTGAATTTTGAACATATTTGGTGTAAGTCCATTGGAAAATTGCCAGTTTCAAAAACGTCATAACTCCTTGTTACAAATCGATATTTCATAATACAGGTTTTAGGCTTTTTTTTCGACTTATTACTTTATCTGAGCCACCGCAACTAGAGCGCCATCATTATTCATTATCATACTCCAGAAGGATCTATAATTTTCGTTAAGGTAATATTTGGTTCATTTTACTATTTCTTTAATTGACTTGGTTCTTTTTAGGTGCGAGAAGAAGCTTCTCAAACATCAGATGAATCCACGGATGAGTCTGATGATGAAGAAGAGGAGGAATATGATTCAGAGGAAGATTCAGAGAGAATTTCAACTCCCAGTAGTCCCACTACTTCTACATTATATGTGAAAAAATGGTTGGGGAAAAATATATTGAGCAGGTGATATTTTGCAAGAATCAACAATAATCTTTTCCATAAGGTTCTGAAAATTTTACGGTATTCTGATTTTTGACTTTTCTAGGTTAACAAGCGCCCATATAAGACGTTTCGTATCTCCAGACTTCAAAGGAGATAGTTTTTATAATTTTCGGGTTCCCTCTCTGGCCATTGTCCCAAAAACCAAGAAAAATATCGTTCCCAAAAAAGAAGTTATCCGACGTAAAGTTGTCGAGGTGAATCCGAAGGACATTGATTTGAAAAAAAAGACGAATGTACTAGCCAAACCTAGCAAGAAATATAGAGATAAAATGAAGAAAATCGTATTGGAGAGGCTGTGCACACCCACATTGAGTTTTATTTTGAGAACACGAAAGGTAAGAACTTTTGAAAATGTATTTTTAAAATATTTTATTGATACCTACTAATTGTTATTTCAGTCCCCGGAAACCCAAGAAGAAAAAAATAATCCCCCCTCCTCACCATGTAGCAAATATAGGAAAAATCATTTCCATAAAAAATAGAGGAATAGAAGACTACCAATAGACACTGAAAATATTATATTGATTCTGACAAATAAAAACCATAATCGTAATAATATGACAATGCTCATTCACTTTAGTCATTGATTCCATGTCCTACTTACTGAATTAAAAAAAGGTGGACAAGAGGACAAGACAAGAGTATTCTCTGATAAATTCATCATTGTATTCTCTAATAAGTTCATCACTGGTGGAGAACATTCTACAACTACATTCAAAAAACGGTCTAATTTTTCCACCAAGGAGTACAAAGAGTCTAGCTCCAGAGAATTCAGTCTCATTTTCACAATGACATTATTTTAGAGAAGCTGATCGTGTAAGGCCTCCGTAATGCGAACAAAGACACTCAATCAAGAAAATCAGAGAGAATGATTCACGATCAACTAGAAACAAGAAACATTGGAAAAAATTTGGGAAAATATTCAAAAATTTAGCGAAAAATTTCAAGACATTGATCTCTCCGAACACTCGTATCATACGGAGTAGGCACAAGACACCTTCGGCTGCCTTCAAAACAGTCCACGCGTCAGTCCCACCGCTCTCTCTCCACCATAACTCGAGGATACCCGTTAAAATAAATTCTCTCAGTAACTCTATAGTTTTATCTGAAGTTGGAGCATCTCTTATAACCTTGATATTCTGCCCCTATGGATTTAGTGTCCAAAACTAATAAAAAGTAATACCTATCCTTGAAATAGTCCAGCATACTCAATATGTATTCTGCCCCAACTTCCAGCTGGCTCATTCCAGTAGTGTATCGGTGCTTTTGTTGGAGATTCCGAATTCCCGCAAATGATTGGCAAGACTTAGCCATGTTTTCAATGCCTTTGTCTATATTTTTCCAGTAACAATACCTTTCTACTGCTAGTTGCTTCATTTTGGTAATGTCTATGTGTGTGTTATGAAGTTCTGACAGAACTAATGGCTGTACTCTGTAGTTGATATCGGAATAACTCCTCTTTGTCCTCTAAATAGAATTTCGTCTTTTAATATAAATTCACTTTCAATTAAATCTTTAGATTTCAGATCTAAGGTCAGCTTTAATTTTTGATAAGGTTGGATCGTTTTCTGTGGCAATTCGAATACTGTCATAAGTGAGATCATGGGTCGATATTTCAGTGATTGATGAATGGCAAAGGAAGTTTACTTCTTCACTAAGAAATTTATCCAAAGATGTTGAAAAATGAAGCGTACCTATCTTAGAAGTCTTTGCGGAAGTCATACTTGGCAGTTTTGAATTTTGATGAAAAATCCTGGTTAATTGACTATTATCTGTGATTAGTCTGAATTTGCGTCCATATAGGTACATGAAAAATGATTGACAGCGAACATTATGGCAAGAGCTTCACGATCTAATTGACGGTAATTTTGTTCGCTTTGTGAGCAGAGCTGTCAGAAAAAAGTATGTTAGTTACTTTAGAGTATCTTAGTTACTTTATAGTATCTAAGATACTGTATCTTAAATACTTTTTATTTTTTGGCAAAAGTATATAGTATCTTTTTTTTTTTTTTACTATACTTTTTTAAGATACAAGTTACAGATCTTTTTGAAAAGTAACCAAGATTTTAGACTTGTTCCTAACCACCAATCCTGACTCGTACACAATTCAAGTAGATGCTCCACTTGGTTCGTCCGATCATAAACTTATAATAACAAAGTGCGAAATGCTCATCCCACCAAGCCTACAACCACTTCCTCGTAAAATGTGGCACTATAAATCGGCAAAATGGAATGACCTAAAACAGTATTACCTGGATTTTTCATGGCAAGAGGTTTGCTTTAAAACAGCTGATCCCACTATTTGCTGTAATGAAATAACACAAGTAATCTTATCTGGAATGGACGCATATATCCCACATACAACTAAACGTAGAGCTAATGCAAAACCTTGGTTCAACAGCCAGTGTCAAACGGCTGTACAGAAAAAACACAGAGCATATAACCTTTGGAAACGACAACAAACCGCTCAAAACCACACAGAATTTATAGAAGCCAGAAATAGTTGCAAAATTATTATTGACTCCGCTAAAGAAACATACAATCAAAGAATAAAAAACAGGTTGCTGAATTGTCCAAGTAGTTCTAGGTCTTTTTGGTCTCTTGCAAAAGCTGTTGGATCTAACTTCACCAAGTCATCCATACCACCACTTACAGATAAAAATAATCACTTAGCCACAACATCAGAGGAAAAAGCCAATATGCTTGCCCAAATGTTTTCCTCCAACTCCAACCTAACAGTGCCAAACGGAAAAACTCCACCGTTCATTGAAAGGGTTTCCCATAGTATGCCAGAGGTACCCTTTTGTCAAAGAGAAATACGAAAATCCCTAAAAAAGCTGGATACAAACAAAGCAATGGGTCTGGATGGCATTCCCGCAATAGTACTCAAAAATTGCGCCAACGAACTCACCCCAACTTTCGCAAAATTATTCAATTTGTCTTACAGGCAAGGAGTATATCCATCATCATGGAAGTCTGCCGCAGTACAACCCATTCCAAAGAAAGGAAAAAAGACAGATCCGTTAAACTATAGACCAATTGCTCTACTTCCGGTGATATCAAAAGTAATGGAAAGAGTTGTGAACAATCACCTAAGCAAGTACTTGGAAAAGTACAAAATTATCAACGATAAGCAATACGGATTTCGAAAATATAGGTCAACTGGCGATTTACTTACATACGTCACTCACTTATGGCAAAAAGCGATTGAGTTGCGGGGTGAAACAAGAACAATTGCCTTAGATATATCTAAAGCATTCGACAAAGTTTGGTATGAAAATCTGCTCAACAAGCTCAAAGCAATGGGATTATCGCCGAAACTTTGCACTTGGCTTGAAGAAAGTTACCTAAAGGACAGATCCATTTATGTTGCACTGGATGGCCAGAACTCCAACTCTTACCAAATAAATGCTGGTGTGCCACAGGGAGCAATCCTTTCGCCAACTCTTTTCCTGATTTACATAAATGACCTCACAGATAAAACAGTAAATCCACTTTATTGCTTTGCAGACGATGGCAATGTAGTCTCCTCACTCATACCACCCACAGGTCTTTCCGCACGTGAATTCCATCATCTTAGACTAACTCAAATATCGCAGATAAATAACGACCTGGAGATAATAAAGGACTGGGGTAACAAAAACCTTGTACAGTTCAACGTGCAGAAAACCCAAGCAGCTCTGTTTTCAAAAAAGACCAGCACCGGTGAGCCAAACATCATGCTATCTGGAAGTGCTGTCACATTACAGAGTCAGTTGAACATCTTGGGGGTTACTGCAGAGACCAACATGTCTTGGCACAGTCACGTGGCAGATATTGCTGAAAGGGCCTCCCAAAAGCTGGGGGTGCTATTTCGTACAAGACATCTGTACACACCAAGCCAATTGCTGACACTCTACAAAGCCCAGATTCGACCAACTATGGAGTACTGCTCACATATATGGAGTGCGGCACCCAAACATACCTTAATGCTTTTGAATACCGTGCAAAAACGAGCTATCAAGCTGATCAATGACCCCGCACTTACTCGTAACTTGGATGGTCTCGAACATCGCAGATCTGTGGGCGATTTATCTCTCTTCTACAGGTACTATCACGGAAAATGCTGAAGAGTTGGCACGTATGATTCCACCGAGAGTAGCACCTACCAGGCGAACCCGTCAAACAGACGGTAACCATGAATTTACTGTCAAACTAGAGGCACCAAGAACCTCATTATATCAGAATTCATATCTCTGGAGAACAGCATCGCTGTGGAATAAACTCCCTGCGGCGGTTTTCCCTGCAGGTTACAACCTGAACCGTTTCAAGACCAACATACACCGACATTTCCGCGCACTTGCCGCTTCTCGAGCGTGATAGGACATTTCCTTGCGAGTGCGCATATCCGTAAAAAAAAAAAATAAGTATTATTAAGTAGGTATCTTAAGAAGTAACTTAAGATATGTATTAAAGATCCTTTTTTAAATGAGTAACTAAATACCCAAAGTAACTTCAGATACTTTTTCCAAAAGTAACTTATCTTGTAACTATGGTTGAACCAAATTCAAGCGGCAGTAAATGACAAACTGGTCATTTTCATTACAACCTATCAAATGTCCTCCGTGCATGCGCACCGGTCCAGGTAGGGCGTTTCAACCAATAGGAAGACTGGTGTTTATTTACTATTTAGGTTATTAAATGTCATTTACTGCCGCTTGGATTTGGAAATGGTGTAGATACTGTTAAAAGTATCTTTGACAGCTCTGTTTGTAAGTGATCTAGAAGCGAACGCATTAGGTCTCGCTATACACAAGCAAGATTCACACGTAAATTCGGATCCTATGGAGCCAAGACTTGATCACTGGCAATTTCGTCTTTCAAATTCACAAAAGCTAATTCACAAGAATTCGTCCAGTTGAATTTAGTGTTTTTCTGCAATAATTTCCATAATGGATAGGTTTTTGTTGAAGCGTTTGGAATAAATCTCTATAGTAGGTACATGACCGTACTCAGAAATCTTCTAATTCCATCGAAAACAGTTGGTCTTGGAATGTCTATAATTGCTTGAATTTTGTTTGGTGATTTTGAAATTTGATTGTGGTTGATTCAGAAGGGTTCCTTCTAAATATTCCGAAAAAAAACAAATTTTTTTCGATTAAAAGATATAAATCATATTCTTGAAGTCTTCGCATACACTCCGCATCCAGGATTTTCTGACATTTTTTCTTGCTTGATCAATGGGATAATTATGTAGTCAAAATATGAATGTGTCTTATTTGCTAAACAGGAAAGAATTTGGTCTATAGTTCTGTTGAATACAGAATGGCCTTGATACCAAATGAAAGTCGATGCATTCGATAGGTTCCTCTATGGGTTGAAATGGTTTGAATTTCGCTTCCTTCTTCATCTACTGATAGATGTAGACTTTGAATATGTCTAATCGGTGAAAATATTTTGAACCTTTAGACTAGATTATTGACTATTCAATATAATTATTTTCCATTTTTCTAATTGGATACCTAATTTGCAGACAACAGCTTGTCATTACTAGTGGTGAACCCCAGTCTCTAT